GGACACACACAGACACACACAGTCCGGTCTCCGCACACAGGACACACACAGACACACACAGTCCGGTCTCCGCACACAGGACACACAGACACAGCCTGGTCTCCTCACACAGAGCAGCCTGGGACACGCAGACACACACAGAGCAGACTGACCGAAGGCACGGAGCAGCTCGTTCCGCACAGCCCGGGACACCTTGTTCATGAGGCAGGCAGAGGTGAGGCCGGCAAAGGCCATGTTGTACAGGAACACGATGTGGAAGTTCCCCAGCCAGTTATAGCGGCCGAAGTCACCCAGCAGGTCAAACCGCGTTATTCCTGAGAGAGAGAGAGAGAGAAACAGTTAGGAGGGGAGAGGAAGAGTAATAAACAGAGGCACAGCAATGTGACCGACATGAAAGATGAAAGAGGGAAAAGGGGCAGTTTAGGATGGAGAGAGGTGATCCATTTTGGCTCCACAAAGCAGTGAGGAAGCAGGAGCACTCTCTGCAGGCACCCAGCTCATAGAAAAAACAAAATGAAAGCTGTTACACATCTTACTGATAAGACATGTCAAAGCAGAAAAACAGTCTTGAAACTCAGACTTCCTAGTGTTCTTAGCTCTGGGCAAAGTGTGTGGTGGGCCAGACACTTCATTTTTTAGAGGCTCTACATAGAGCAAATCCACAAAAGGTGATTTCTGGTGCCACCTGGTGGTCGACACCAGGTGGCACCTGCAACTTCTGCAACTTTTCACTCAAATTCTTAGCCTGTCCCAGTCTACCACCTTGTGGCCAAGGCAGAGAATACATGCTAGTTGAGCAGAAATCTCAAAATCAGGTTCTTAGTGAAGATGGTCCACAGAGAGCCCACTGCTCTGTGCAAGTTTACTCAGTCCAGCAAGCCTGACTCACACGTCAGAATGTAGCAAAAATAAACAATCTCTTAAACACCATGGAGAAGCAGTAAAACAAGCAAACAAAACACTAGGATAGTTAAAAGTGTACAATTCAAACCAATGGGTGTCATGTTAAATTTTATAAGGCAAAATTTAGGCCTGATTTAGAACATTGTGAACATTTTCAGTTACCACGTTATAGAAAAGATATTTCTGCTCTGAAATCAATCCAGAGAAAAGCAACCAAATACATTCTATGGCTGAAGGGAGTGTCCCACACTTACAGGCTGAAGGAACTGAGTCTCTTTAGTCTGAAGGGAGTGTCCTGCACTGACAGGCTGAAGAACCTAAGTCTCTGTAGTCTGAAGGAAGTGTCCTA